GTACTTTCATCCACTACAATAATGTTACCTGTAGTTTATAATTTATAGAAAAGTGAAAAAAAGACCTATTGGCTCAGCTGCAATTATTTATATCCGTCCTTTAAGCATGTAACCTCTTATGAATTAAGGAAAACGTCAAAAGGCCTATTGGGCCATATTTAGCTGTATCTATTCACCCCCTTGTACATGTCACCCCTTAACTCTTCACCTATTAATAAAATGCAATTTACAGATTGCATATATGTTTCCAATGCAGGCGATGAGTCACAATAACGTGGCTGAAGTATGTTGACCAGACCACACACTAGAAATTGAAGGGACGACGACGTTTCGGTCCGTCCTGGACCATTCTCAAGTCGACCATTCTCAAGTCGAAACGTCGTCGTCCCTTCAATTTCTAGTGTGTGGTCTGGTCAATATGTTTCCAATCATTGTTAGTAACCAGTTAAAGATGACTTAATTTGCAAGAAATATTGTTAGTATTGCAGCCAAAGGTTGTTTGTTTCTACTAAATATTTTTAGTATACAGTCAAAGATGGCTTATTGAAAATAAGAATGAATGCAACATCAGCAGGCCTTACACAGCGGCATCTCCTATTTATACCCATGCCAGCTTTAATAGGGTAATCATTCAATAATCTCTCCTATATCCCAAACCGAATATATGTCTGCATCAGATCTTAATTCACGTATATACATTATTTTTGTTGTAAAAGCTCACCAAAATATATATATACTCTGGCTATAAATCCAGTGCCAATGAGGGGTGTACATAACTCCCCTTCTCCCAATATCCAACAGCAGCATAATTAGTTCTGTAACTGCTAGGTTTAGTCACTCCTGAACCCTTTCAATCTTTATGCCTGCACCCTGGACCAGCTGGAACATAACTTTATGTTGCATTGAAATCTCCATGCTAGCAGTAAAAAGTATATTTTATTTGAAATAGCTACAGTTCTCTATCATTTACGACGCTTCTTGTAACAGAGGTTTAGGTGAAGTCATTAGTGTCTAAGTGCTAAATTTGAATCCCCACATGCTGATATAGGTGACGTCATTACCCTCTATGATGCTATAGGTGACGTCATTACCCCCCATATGCTGATATAGGTGATGTCATTACCCACCCATGCTGTTATATGGGGGGATGGGGGGATGTCATTACCACCCCATATGCTGCTATAGGTGACGTCATTACCCCACATGATGATGTAGGTGACGTCATTCCCCTCACATGCCACATATCCTTAACAGCACCAAATATATTGACATTAATTCTTCCTACTCATAAAAAATATATATGTGCAATGTATATTTTTTTGTTAATTCATCTTTAACTCTATATATGTAAGCTAAATTTATACATTCTGCCGTTCTTAAAAGGTGATTTTATAATAGACAACTTGTGTTTACAATGCCTTTCATTGCATCCTAAACAGTCATTAGGACTTGCTAATGACTAAAGGAGTCATTAGCACTTACGTGTGACATCAAATGCGACGTAGTGTCATTACCTGTTTAATCCAACAGCGGCCTAAACAGCTTTGTATATTATTGATATTGTATATTATTCGTAAATTTTGATCCACCAGCCTCTACCACCTTGCCTCTACCACCTTGCCTCTACCACCTTGCCTCTACCACCTTGCCTCTACCACCTTGCCTCTACCACCTTGCCTCTACCAGCCTCTACCACCTTGCCTCTACCACCTTGCCTCTACCACCTTGCCTCTACCACCTTGCCTCTACCACCTTGCCTCTACCACCTTGCCTCTACCACCTTGCCTCTACCACCTTGCCTCTACCACCTTGCCTCTACCACCTTGCCTCTACCACCTGCCATCTACACTAGATCCATACAGCGCCAGAAACTTGACTTTAATGATATACAGTTAATGCAAAATGAACCATAACTTAGCTGTGTGATAAAGAAGTATTGTGATGCATCTTAATTTATTAATATATTTTTATTCCAATAAAATATTAGATTAAATTCTGTTTGTCCTTCACACAACCATGAAACAACATCTCTAATTAAAGCTAATGTATTTTACAGAAAAAAATACATACATATAAATTTTAACGGGAAAAAAATATTTTTGTAATATATAAGGGAGCAAATTGTGCCATAAAAACATTATTTGCCAAATCGTATCAAAAAATCTGTATTTTTTTTTATACAGTAAATGTTTTGCATATCTATAATATAACTCTGATGCAACGTTTAGAATTAATATTAATGTATGATTTAGAATGACAACTAAAATTAATATTTAAACATTAAAAAAAGTTAATATATTATGGCGTTATAATATTTTCATATATTTAAAATATTTTAATAAATTAATAGTAATTTAGTATGCTGTAAAGCCCTGTAAACTCAAAACGTTGCCACAACGTTTTGTGTTTACAGGGCTCTAACCTAGGTTATCTTAAGCTGCCCCAAATATTAGTTATCTTAACCTGGCCATAACCACAGATATCTTAACCAGCCTCTAAACGTGGTTAACCTGCCCCTAACTTAAATTATCTTAACCTACCCTTAACCTATCTTAACCTGTCCCAACTTTGGTTATCTTAACCTGCCCATAACCAAAGAACAAAGCGTAGGGAACTCGTTCTCAGGTATTCATTAGCATTTCAATGAAGAACACACACAGAAAAAAAGTAACTGATGTGTACAATTTAATTATTGTCAATTTACATCCAAAAAATCTTAAACATCAACTGTTTACCTGTGAACAGGTAAGTTTACAGGTACGGTCGTCACCACTGATGAGTGACGTACACTGCTGCTCTTATGACGTATTGACGTAACCTGATTTGCCTCAGTTGCTCTAGATGGGTCATATGCATATTACGTCATGGGAAAGCTTTTAATTAACCTCCTCTTTCTATAAATATTTGCTACTAATCACCGCCTTTCATAACACAGCTGTGCTCACACTTATAAATCATTCACACGGCGTGAATTGCCTGCCCCCTCTCACGTCGCTGGAAGACAGTAGAGTTAGGGGAGACATGATTACTACATACATAATTCTCAAAGGAATTGACGTGGTAGATGACGACATTGTTTAACACGGGTGGTACTCGAACAAGGGAAGGGACACAGGTGGAAGCTGAATACACAAATAAGCCACAGAGACGTTAGAAAGAACTTTTCCAGTGTCAGAGTAGTTAACAGGTGGAATGCATTAGGCAGTGATGTGGTGGAGGCTGACTCCATATACAGTTTCAAGTGTAGATATGATAGAGCCACCTGCGGACCCCATGAACAACCTGCGGACCCCATGAACAACCTGCGGACCCCATGAACCACCTGCGGACCCCATGAACAACCTGCGGACCCCATGAACAATCTGCGGACCCCATGAACCACCTCCGGACCCCATGAACCACCTCCGGACCCCATGAACCACCTCCGGACCCCATGAACTACCTGTGGACCCCACGAACCACCTGCGGACCCCATGAACAACCTGCGGACCCCATGAACAACCTGCGGACCACATGAACAACCTGCGGACCCCATGAACCACCTCCGGACCGCATGAACAACCTGCGGACCCCATGAACCACCTGCGGACCCCACGAACCACCTCCGGACCTCATGAACCACCTCCGGACCCCACGAACCACCTGCGGACCCCATGAACCACCTCCGGACCCCATGAACCACCTCCGGACCCCATGAACCACCTGCGGACCCCATGAACCACATCCGGACCCCATGAACCATCTCCGGACCCCATGAACCACCTCCGGACCCCACGAACCACCTGCGGGACTCACGACCCTCATAGACCACAGAGCGAGAGGGGGCGGAAGTGATGCCAGCCATAAACGATGAGAGAGTAGAGATGCGACCTGCCCCAGCATCCAGCATCACAACACTGTACCTCTGGCCCGGCTGAGCCTCCAGCCCAAGGTGTTTCCTGTGTGGGAGGCTGTGTGAAGGGGACTGACAAGCCCCCGGCGTCGTCAAGACTGTGTGGGGGGGGGGGGGGGGACTGGCAAGCCCAGCATCTTCAAGGGATCTTGAGCATGCCAGCCTTGGCTTTCCTGGAGACGGGTCACTGAACACTTTAAAGCCGGGTATGTTTTCATGGCCTAATTTGCCGGTTTAGAATGTATTCAGAGTTATTCTGGTGGGTTAAAACTCACTTTTAAGCTCGCGTTAGCCAGTGGTTAAGGGGTGAGGGGGTGCGTTATTCTCTTGCGTTAGCCAGTGGTGAAGTGGGAGAGGGGAGGGGAGGGGGTTCGTTATTCTGTTGCGTTAGCCAGTGGTGTAGTGAGAGATTTGTGCTCTTTGGTAATGGGGGCTTGGTAACGTTCCGCTGGCTACCTGTCAACATCACTGGTATACGAGCTGTCCTTCATATGTATAGTACTCACCATACACACTCTCATACGCCAGCATATACATACATATACGCTTGTATAGACGGACGGTAGTGGTATACATATGCCTCCTGACACCACTGACAACACTATACACCTTTCGACCTACCCTTCCGCTGTCAACACCCCATCCCACCCCTCCCAACACCCCATCCCACCCCTGCCAACACCCCATCCCACCCCTGCCAACACCCCCATCCCACCCCTGCCAACACCCCATCCCACCCCTGCCAACACCCCCATCCCACCCCTGCCAACACCCCATCCCACCCCTGCCAACACCCCATCCCACCCCTGCCAACACCCCATCTCACCCCTGCCAACACCCCATCCCACCCCTGCCAACACCCCATCCCACACCTGCCAACACCCCATCCCACCCCTGCCAACACCCCATCCCACCCCTGCCAACACCCCATCCCACCCCTGCCAACACCCCATCCCACACCTGCCAACACCCCATCCCACACCTGCCAACACCCCGCCTGAGTCTGGGATGCACCTTAATTAAGACATCTCGTCAGAAGTGTTTCTTTAGAGATGGTGGCTGGAGGTCTGTTAATTATGTGGTTTACCAGACCATAACGTGTTGTGAGGAGCGGACCAAGCAGTCCGTGAGCAGTGGGGCAAGAAGTGTCTGGGCAGTGGGGGCAAGAAGTGTCTGATTAGTGGGGCCAAGAAGTGTTTGAGTAGTGGGGGCAAGAAGTGTCTGAGCAGTGGGGGCAAGAAGTGTCTGAGTAGTGGGGGCAAGAAGTGTCTGAGTAGTGGGGGCAAGAAGTGTCTGATTAGTGGGGCCAAGAAGTGTTTGAGTAGTGGGGGCAAGAAGTGTCTGAGCAGTGGGGGCAAGAAGTGTCTGAGTAGTGGGGGCAAGAAGTGTCTGAGCAGTGGGGGCAAGAAGTGTCTGAGTAGTGGGGGCAAGAAGTGTCTGAGTAGTGGGGGCAAGAAGTGTCTGAGTAGTGGGGGCAAGAAGTGTCTGAGTAGTGGGGGCAAGAAGTGTCTGAGTAGTGGGGGCAAGAAGTGTCTGAGTAGTGGGGGCAAGAAGTGTCTGATTAGTGGGGGCAAGAAGTGTCTAAGCAGGTTTTTGTATTACTTTCTACCACAAACGTGGCCCATATATTTACGATGATAACCAAGATGTGTAAATTTTCTTCTATCCTCCTTGCACAGGGCTAGAGATCCGTTAGACATGAAGTTCACTGATTTATTGAACAACCAGCCACAGAAGGTGATTGTAGTGCTTTTAAAATGCTAATCTAACCTACATACATAAATACATAGATTTACGTCTACATAAACAGTATTCCATGTATATTCTTTTATACATAATGTGATTAATGTGAGTTTACAAAGGTGAAATGCAATTATGACCAGCTTCCACACGCATACACACACACACACACACACACACACACACACACACACACACACACACACACACACACACACACACACACACACACACACACACACACACACTCAGAAACTTGTGTAAAGAATCATTTATAACTTTGTATAACACATATGTCAGGCCAATCCTGGAGTATGCAGCCCCAGCATGGAGTCCATATCTAGTCAAGGATAAGACTAAACTGGAAAAGGTTCAAAGGTTTGCCACCAGACTAGTACCCGAGCTGAGAGGTATGAGCTACGAGGAGAGACTACGGGAATTAAACCTCACTTTGCTGGAAGACAGAAGAGTTAGGGGGGACATGATCACCACATTCAAGATTCTCAAGGGAATTGATTGGGTAGAGAAAGACAGGCTATTTAACACAAGGGGAACACGCACTAGGGGACACAAGTGGAAACTGAGCGCCCAAATGAGCCAAATGAGAAATGAGCCATTAGAAAGAACTTTTTTAGTGTCAAAGTGGTTGACAAATGGAATACATTAGGAGGTGATGTGGTGGAAGCTGACTCCATACAGAGTTTCAAGTGTAGATATGATAGAGCCCAATAGGCTCAGGAATCTGTACACCTGTTGATTGACGGCTGAGATGCGGGACCAGAGAGCCAGAGCTCAACCCCCGCAAACACATCTAGGTGAGTACAACTAGGTGAGTACACACACCACACACACACACACACACACACACAAGCCTGGAAACCCAAGCCTGGAAACCCACTTCGGCCAATCATCAGCCAGATACCCACATCCACGTACAGAATGGCGAAACGACTCAATGGCTTGCTGACTCCTTATGTCCCTTGCGCCTTCAGCCTGAAGTCTCCAAAGGAATTTGTTGACTTGCTGCGGGGAACACGGGCCACAGGGATAAGAGCCTCGTTGGACGTAGAATCTCTGTTTACCAACGAACCAGTGGATGAAACAATCAGGATGATAGCCGACAGAGTGTACCGTGATCCGGCCTGTACTCCTCTTGACATACCAGAAAACAGTCTAAGGAAACTACTCCAAGCTTGTACTAAAGAGGCACCCTTCTTGAGCCCGGATGGACACATGTATAAGCAAGTAGATGGGGTCGCCATGGGTTCTCCCCTAGGTGTCCTGTTTGCAAACTTCTACATGGGTACCATCGAGCAAAAAGTCTTAGTCGACATGAACTTGAAACCGGCCATATACTGCAGGTATGTTGACGACATTTTTACACAGGTACCTGATGTCAGACATCTGCAGGAGCTGAAGGAGGCATTTGAGCAGAATTCTGTGTTGTGTTTCACTTACGAGATGGAGAAGGATGCGAAGCTGCCCTTTCTAGATGTAACAGTCATGGAAAGGAGCGGAGTTTTTCACACTGCAGTCTACACTAAGGAAACAAACATAGGAATGTGCCTGAATGCCAACAGTGACTGCCCGGACAGGTACAAGAGGAGTGTTGTTAACGCTTATGTCGACCGTGCCCTCAGCCACAGCTCAGAATGGAAACAAGTCGACGAAGAACTCTGTAGGGTAAGGCAGGTCCTAGTCAACAACGGCTTCTCCAATGGTTTCGTGGAAGACATCATAAGAAGGAAAGTGAAACGCCATGCAACCTCTGAAGAGACAACTAACACAACACCTATACCCCCTACTAGACTATTTTACAGGAACTTCTTTTCCACAGCCCATAAAACGGAGGAAAGGGTCCTGAAAGATATTGTCAGTAGAAACGTTATCCCTACAGACAAAAATCAGAAGATACAACTGACAATTTACTATAAAACCAAAAAAACGGCCAGCCTACTCATGAGAAACTCTCCAGACACAAAGCAGAACGTTTTAAAAGAGACCAACGTCGTCTATGCCTTCAAATGCCCTCTTGGGGATTGTAAGCCTCAAAAAACTCAGTATATAGGCAAGACAACAACATTTCTTTCCAGGCGTTTAACGATGCATAAGCAACAGGGCTCCATTAAGGAACATATAGCCTCTTCCCACAACCAAACCATCACCAGAGAAATCTTAGCAAACAACACAGAAATCATCGATAGATACAGCGATAGCAGGCGGCTCGACGTCTGCGAGGCACAACACATCAAGAAGTCAACACCAGCAATCAACAGCCAATTAATGCACAACTGTATTCTACCCACTTCAAGACTCCGCTCCAATATAGAAGCATCAAGAAATATGGGCCAATAAAAATAGGCCTTCTGCAGTTACCTATTTTTAATACCTGTTTGTATTTCATTGTTTCGTGTTCTGTCTTGTGTTAAAAGTTTATTTTCACCTCATCCAAAACTATTGTAACATGTCACTTCACCCAAATGTAGGTATAAAAACTCGAAAGATGTTTAAGCTCTATTCAGTTAAAGTTGTGTGTGTGTGTAAACTAAAGTCTTTGAAAATGTAATAAGTTTTACGAAACGTGCTCAAGTGTCGCGTCAGACTAGAAATAAAAATGAATTTTGGAGAATTGATATTTGAATTACCATCAACAGTGAAAAGAAACGTAAGAAAGATCGAGAAAATTCGTGTTAGAATTATTAATCTTAATTTTTCGGTCATATTTAATAATATATATATATATATATATATATATATATATATATATATATATATATATATATATATATATATATATATATATATATATATATATATATATTTTATTAAATATGACCGAAAAAGTAAGATTAATAATTCTAACACGAATTTTCTCAATCTTTCGTACATTATGCTTCACTGTTGGAGGTAAATCAAAAATCACTTCTCCAAAATTCAATTTTATTTCTAGTCTGACGCGACACGGGCGCGTTTCGTAAAACTTATTACATTTTCAAAGACTTCACAAATACACAACTGATTAGAACTTGCGTTTCCCTGATTTTATATCTACATTTGAGTGAGGTGGGAAGGGTGATGTGGCATTACATTTGAGTAAGGTGGGAAGGATGATGTGGCATTAGAGGATATTAATAGGGTATTAAAAGTATCAACACAAGACAGAACACGAAACAATGGATATTGAATAGAAGTGTTTGTAGAAAGCCTATTGGTCCATATTTCTTGATGCTTCTATATTGGAGCGGAGTCTTGAGGTGGGTAGAATATAGTTGTGCAATAATTGGCTGTTGATTGCTGGTGTTGACTTCTTGATGTGTAGTGCCTCGCAAACGTCGAGCCGCCTGCTATCGCTGTATCTATCGATGATTTCTGTGTTGTTTACTAGGATTTCTCTGGCGATGGTTTGGTTATGGGAAGAGATTATATGTTCCTTAATGGAGCCCTGTTGTTTATGCATCGTTAAACGCCTAGAAAGAGATGTTGTTGTCTTGCCTATATACTGGGTTTTTTGGAGCTTACAGTCCCCAAGTGGGCATTTGAAGGCATAGACGACGTTAGTCTCTTTTAAAGCGTTCTGTTTCGTGTCTGGAGAGTTTCTCATGAGTAGGCTGGCCGTTTTTCTGGTTTTATAGTAAATCGTCAGTTGTATCCTCTGATTTTTGTCTGTAGGGATAACGTTTCTATTAACAATATCTTTCAGGACCCTTTCCTCTGTTTTATGAGCTGTGGAAAAGAAGTTCCTGTAAATAGTCTAATAGGGGGTATAGGTGTTGTGTTAGTTGTCTCTTCGGAGGTTGCATGGCTTTTCACTTTCCTTCTTATGATGTCTTCGATGAAACCATTGGAGAAGCCGTTATTGACTTCCAGTGAAAAGCCATGCAACCTCCGAAGAGACAACTAACACAACACCTATACCCCCTATTAGACTATTTTACAGGAACTTCTTTTCCACAGCTCATAAAACAGAGGAAAGGGTCCTGAAAGATATTGTTAATAGAAACGTTATCCCTACAGACAAAAATCAGAGGATACAACTGACGATTTACTATAAAACCAGAAAAACGGCCAGCCTACTCATGAGAAACTCTCCAGACACGAAACAGAACGCTTTAAAAGAGACTAACGTCGTCTATGCCTTCAAATGCCCACTTGGGGACTGTAAGCTCCAAAAAACCCAGTATATAGGCAAGACAACAACATCTCTTTCTAGGCGTTTAACGATGCATAAACAACAGGGCTCCATTAAGGAACATATAATCTCTTCCCATAACCAAACCATCGCCAGAGAAATCCTAGTAAACAACACAGAAATCATCGATAGATACAGCGATAGCAGGCGGCTCGACGTTTGCGAGGCACTACACATCAAGAAGTCAACACCAGCAATCAACAGCCAATTATTGCACAACTATATTCTACCCACCTCAAGACTCCGCTCCAATATAGAAGCATCAAGAAATATGGACCAATAGGCTTTCTACAAACACTTCTATTCAATATCCATTGTTTCGTGTTCTGTCTTGTGTTGATACTTTTAATACCCTATTAATATCCTCTAATGCCACATCATCCTTCCCACCTTACTCAAATGTAATGCCACATCACCCTTCCCACCTCACTCAAATGTAGATATAAAATCAGGGAAACGCAAGTTCTAATCAGTTGTGTATTTGTGAAGTCTTTGAAAATGTAATAAGTTTTACGAAACGCGCCCGTGTCGCGTCAGACTAGAAATAAAAATGAATTTTGGAGAAGTGATTTTTGATTTACCTCCAACAGTGAAGCATAATGTACGAAAGATTGAGAAAATTCGTGTTAGAATTATTAATC